ACCAATCTCTGCTCCGGTTAAGTGTTCATTCAAAATACTTCCATCTCTTATGCTGTGTTCCATTTAAGCATCCCCCTAATCACCTGAAAGCCATTCTTTTTCTTTCACTGCTTGTCCCAAACCAGATACAATATTTTGTGTGCAGCTTAGATCAGTGAAGGGTTTGGTAACTTGCAAAATGTCACCACTTTTGAGTAGAAGATATTATGAATCAATAGTAACTGGCAATTTTCTCTATGAAAGATTAAGAATAAAAAGAAATGAAGTAATGCATGGGCACATAATGGTTAAGACAAAAAAAAAATAAAATCTTTCACAATCAAAAATAAATTTCCAGATTTTGAGCTTTATTTTGGTAAGTCATGAACAGGGCGTTTAATACCTTTACAGACTGACAGATATTAATTTTACCTTGGAGGAATTTGATAGAGATTTAAGGTTTCCTTTTGAAAGGAAAAAATCTTTTTAGAATTGCTCTAGCTATACCATGTCTGGAGAAAAGAGTAAAGCGGTAATAGCTTCCAATAAGACACAGAAATTGTTTGATAGTCTGGCCTCAATTCACCTCTCAGTAGGCACTTCGATATTTTGCTATCTTACTTGCTTTAAGGTACTCAGTATCACAAATTACCAGAAATCCAAGATTTCCATTCTGCCACTTTCTTCAAAATCAGAACCCATGAATCCATATGCAAAGCTTCATCCAAAGCTACGAATACTACACTTCCTAACTACTGCATAAGCTTTTCCATGGATTAGAAATCTAGTGCAGAAACTGTGAGCAGTTGTCTGCCATCTTGCAATATAGCAGCATACCTGAATAATACCTGAACTGCTTCAAGAATTGTTTCAGTGTTGCAGAACCTGCCTTTCAACCTAGTGAGTTGTTCCAATGACTAAGTACCAAGCTCTTAGCTACAAACTGAAGTCTTATTTCCACTGCAGTTTTTCTCTAATTCACTCTTCAGATTTTCACTTTAATTGTATTACCATGTCATGATTTAAGCCCAGCTGGCAACTAAGCACCATGCAGCTGCTTGCTGATCTCCCTCCCTCCACCCCCACCTCAGTGGAATGGTGAGGAGAATCAAAAGTAAAACTTGTAGGTTGAGATAAAACAGTTTATTAATCCAAAACAAAGTTGTTGATAATTATAATGATAATGATAATAACAGACACCTACGCTCCCTAAATGGGAACTATATATAGTCCTTGTCTTTGGCTGACTGACTACATTTGCCAGATTATCTGAACTTCTCTTCGCAGAGGACTGACTTTTTTCCCTCCAGTGCTCATGGAGGAGAAAGTACACCGATACTTTCCCCTTGAGCAGTTACCACTTTGACTGCCCATCACCTCCCGCCTGCCACAGATCACTTTTCTCACAGAACTGTGAGTGTTACGTGTTTAATTACTTCTGTTGGCTAATTCTGTTGGAGTAACAGACATTCATGTAAATTCTTCTAATAGCAAACTTTTCTAATCCTGATCTTTTGACAAGAAGTAGATAAAGGAGGAATGAAAACTGCATTTACATTGGCACGTTTGAGGAGGCAGAAATCTCTAGAAGGAATATCAGGGACAGTAAAGGTAAGTGGGCTGGTTCAGCCACAGGCAAGGGAAGGCTGCTGGCAGCAGGCTGAGAAACTTTCTTTTTGAGAGCACAGGGCTGGAAAGGGGTATATCACTGAGAAATATACCACTGAGGCTTTCTCTTTTCTTTGGATGTAAAATTTCTTTCACAAATTGATTATTTTTTCCTCGTAGCCTTTCTCATGTACCCAATCTACTGAAACTGTTCCTGTTTCTCATACTTCTATGTGTGTTGCAATTCTATCAGAGGGTGTGGTGGGAGTGTTGCATTTTTAGAGACAATTCAGCATTTTGGAATAAGGTATTTTTACCACAGGAGCTAAAATGGCAATGTTGATTCTGAATTTAGTCAACTGAGATGTGTCTTTAAGATGAGATAAATCAGGAATGTTTCAGAAAAAAATAGATTTCCATCAAATTTGAAATATTTTTGCCAAAAATTCAGTTTGTAAGGTGGTTGTGGCAATAATCTTCAGTTAACATTACAGTACTGTTTTTTCTTGGCTTCAGAAGTCTTCCATTACAGTATTTATTTATAAAAATTTACTACCAAAAAATGGACTAACTCCACTCTTAAAAAACCCCCTATGAATTCCTGTACTTACATGAGAGGAAGAATTAAAAAAAAAAATATTTAGACATTAACCTTTGCATTTCAGAACCAGAAATGTGATAATTTGAATAGCCTGAATCAGAGGTGTCCAATCATCTCTGCTTAAATACAGTTCAGCAATTACCAGGGTTCTTTGACAATTATTGTGATGTTGTGCAGATACTGCCATTTCCCTCTGTTCTTTCATATTTCATAAGAAGGATTCCCTGAAACACCAGGGAGGTTTCAAACTGTGAAGATGTAAGTGTTGTGGAACTCAGAGTAGGCAGTAAAACAGATATCATAATTTTCTATAATTTTTAATCTCCTTACAAATATTGGGGGTTTGTTTATTTGTTTTCTCCAAGGTAACTACCATACTGAGTCTTTGTATTTAATGTTTGTGTGTTTAGGGATGGGCACAGCAGCAGGTGTGCTGGGTGTGCCTCGCTGTTCCCTCCTGTTCCGCCTAAGATCGCTCGCCAAAGCGGCAGGTCCAGTTTCAGTAGGGGATGGGAGCGGAGCACGGCTGCAGGTGGGCTCTTACAGAGGGGACCAGGGGCAGCACTTACCCCTCCGCTGTAGCAGGGGGAGCTTTCGGGACACCTCGGAGGGGGATCTCCTTCGGCGTAGGGGCAGTAGGGCTCCGCGGGAGAGGGACGGCGGGACTCAGAGGGAGCGGGAGAGTGGGATGCAGAGGGAGCGGGAAGGCTCCCGCGCCCCGCGGACAAGTGGCGTGGAGGGTCGGCAGCTGCATCCGGAAGAAGGAAGGTTGACCGAGGATGCTGCAATTTTCTGAATTTTTGTGCTCTGTGATCAGCCACGAGGGATTTGTTTTTTCTGCTTTGTTTTTTGTTCGTTTGTTTTCGTTTGTTTGTCGGTTGGGGCGGTTTAACAATTAAAAAGAAAAATAATCTACTTTTGGATTGATGTTTGCCTTTAGTGGAAATGTATGCGTGTGACTTCAGTTAATGCTGATGAAGGTTAGTTGCCTGGGGGAACGGTGAGAGTCAGTATCTCTCCAACCTGTCTTGGAGAGAAAGATTCTGTGGCACTATTTTAGACAAAGTGCTTTGGATTGTGTCTATAGAAAGAAGAAAATAGAAAGACTAAAGAAATATTTGTGTGATATGACAGCTATGTTTTAAGTCAGTAATTCAACTTTTTGAAAGAATTATAATTTTCTGATATTTTCTACTCGTTGGAACGAGACAGAATGATCATTTTTGCTGGTCATTCATTGCCTCACATTTACTGAAGAAGACACAGATATCTTTGTGTCAGAAGCTGAGAAAAAAATGGAATATAAATGGGATTTTTTTTTTAAATGCTGTTGTGCAGCCAAACCATCAAGCATTAACATAAGGTTTAAAAATTTTCTTGTAGTTTAATATCAGACTCATGTGAAGTCAAGTCATACCATGTGAAGAAAAACATCTTCCATTAATAGTTTAACTCAGGTTCAATAAATATCTGCTTTATAGTAGCAGCTAAGGTGTAGTTAAGGTTTTTACAGAAAAAAAATCTATGAAAGCTTTACTGTTATTGAATTTGCATTGGTCTTACATAGAAATCTCCAAGCAAATCTTCTGTTATGATGTCATTAAAATTCAATGACTTAACGAAAATGTCATATATTGAGCAAAATTTTCAGTATTTTCCAGGTTTCTGTCATTATATTCCATCACTAACCCATCCTCACCTCACCCTCCACCTTCCCAAAGAAAAGAATCTATCAAAACGATAGATACTTGTCTATACGACCATGGTTTGTTAATTCAAGGTTATTATTTTGGATAGGAGGTCTTATTAAGAACATGAAAATTTTAATGATTGTTTTTGAAAGCTACAGTTGTTTTCTTAGATGAGTATTTGCAAAAAGTGTAAACCCAGACTACCTGACATTGTCTCTAATACAACCAAGCAGGTATAGACTACACAGAAAGTCAAGGAAGGAAAAAAAGAATCTGTTGTGAGCAAAGGAGGAATAGCCAGAAAGTTTCATACCTCTCCTGGGGGTAGGCAGTGCGTCACACAGAAAGGAAAAAAAAAAAAAGAAGATTATACTTGACAAGTAAATGTGATATCACTTAGCTATTACCTGGTCTTGAAGATTTGTCCATCGGGTTGCACAGGGGCACAGCCTGCCTCTCCATAGTCTGCACCATGGGCTGCAGGGGAATCTTTGCTCTGGTGCCTGTAGCACCTCCTTTTCCTCTTTTTCCACTGACCTTGGTATCTGCAGATCTGTTTCTCTCACATATTTTCACTCCTCTTGGCTGCAGTTGCTGTTGTAGAGTAACTCTTTTCCCCCTTCTTAAATCTGTTATCCTAGAGGTGCTACCACTGCTACTGACAGGCTCAACCTTGGCCAGTGGCAGGTCCATCTTGGAGGTGGCTGGCATTAGCTCTGTTGGACATAGCAGAAGCTTCTGTCAGCTTCCCACAGAGACCACCCCTGTAACACCCCCCCACAGTACCAAAGCCTTGCCATGCAAACTCAATACAAGAAGCACAAGCAGCAATTATCCCAGTTCTGTGATAACATCCCAGTGAGTTAAAATACTAGGATAAACCCTAAGCAAGCCAAAGATTAACTAGACTTGGTGTCCAGTTACTGTTTGTTCTGAAATTTAGCATTATGTCCTAGTGGGACAGTGGGACAATGGGAAGCATCCAACATCCACCCTTATAAAAAGTCATGTCAACTGTTAAAGACATATGTGCTGCATCAAGGCCTTCAGGCTCAATGGATATAAGTGGATGACTTCAGTAGTTACATTTACCTTACTCACCTTTCCAGCATCTAGTCATCATGGTGCAGACGGTCTTGTTGCTTGATGGTGAAAGGGTCTTTGTTAGTGACCATTTACAGAACCGAGGCAGGTATTCTGCAGTTCAAATTTCTTCTTCAGTTCTTTGGCCAAATAGGTAAACCTCTGCTTAACTACTTTCCTTTTCCTCTTCTCTTCTTTTGAACAGAGCTACCCTCACCCAATTGTTAATACATCTGCTTATGAACAATCTCATACATTTCATTTTTTTTCTTCCTAGAAATAAGAAACAAAATTTCATCACTTTCAAGAAGGGTGCAGTTGATACACAGGTAAACTGCTATTTCTCTCACACTCGTATCAGCAAATTAAACTGACCCATTCCACAGCTGCTGTTCATTTTGGCTGCTTAAACAATAACCCAAGGAGTTACACACATCATGCTGCTCACAGTAAACAAGCTGCAAATTTTCCAAGGGAAATACAGAAACATGGTCAGGACACTCTTCCTACCAAAGCATCCCAGTATCACCAGAGTTCTAGTATACCCATTCAAACTGATTTATGATACAAGATAAAAGTTTTGTTTGTGTGTAAAATGACTGGGTTAGACAGTGCTCAGAGCACACCTATTTCAAGTAACTTGTAGGCAGATTTTTTAAGGAGCTTTAACAGTGAAATCTTCACATTTTTTCAACAACCTTAGACAAATAACCAGTTAACACTTTTCCACTTTTATTGCCACATCAACAAAAAGGGAAAGATAGCTCTTGACCTTTGTAAAGTTAGGGTTTAGCAATGAACCTCAGGAAGCTCAACAAGGCCAAGGTCTAGGCAATCCCAAGCACAAGTACAGGTTGGGCAGAGAAGTGATTGAGAGCTGGCATGGGGAAAAGGACTTGGGGGTGTTTGTGGACAAAAAGCTCGACATGACCCAGCACTCTGTGCACTCACAGCCCAGAAGGCCAACTGTGTCCTGGGCTGCATGAAAAGATGCATGGCCAAGAGGTCAAGGGAGATGATTCTGCCCCTCTCCTCTGCTCTTCTGAGATTCCACCTGGAGTACTGCATGCAGCTCTGAGGCTCCAAACACTAGAAAGATGTTGATCTGTTGGAATAAGATCAACAGGAGGAGAGTCACTAAGTTGATCAGAGGGCCGAAGCACCTCTCCTACAGAAACAGGCTGAGAGATTTGGGGTTGCTCATCCCAGACAAGAGAATGCCCTGGGGAGACATTATAGCAGCCTTCCTCCTAAAGGAGGCTTACAAGGAGGCTGGAGAGGGCCTTTTCACAAGGACATGTAGAGATAGGACAAGGAAGAATGCTCTTAAAATGAAGAAGGATTTGATTAGAGGGTTTGATTGGAAGATGGATTTGGATCACCCCAGCCAGGAGAAGTTGCCAGAGCACTTTCCAAGAGTAGAGTAAACACTCTGTTACTAAAAGGTGTATCTTGGATGATTACATGTTTGTTTAAATTGTAATGGAGTTATTACATAACAGATTTCATTTTGAAAATAACATCATCCAATTCTTTCATGTGCAATCTTGAACATACAAAATCTTTCTGTGAAAATTTTTACAAAATTCAGATAATAATTAAACAGTAGTATACACTGAGATGTGAGACTTAACTATTGAGATCCAAATTATTATCCATCAATAATTAATTTACTCTTGCTACTACAGAACTAAATGCTAAAATCACTGAAAAATGAGTGAATTTCAGCCTTTCTGCCAGAATGGTACACAAGGCTTGATTGAGAGATCTTGGAGTGGATGGCACAAGGTGATTAGTGCTGCAGAGACAATCATCCTTCCTTCTCTGATTGGGATTATCTCTTCAACAGTCTTAGTTGGAAATATCCTCATTGTGTTCATAATAATAAGGTATGGAATAGAATACATTTTTCCATAACACTTATTGCATACATAAGGAAATGGATTGCCCATCAAAGACAAGGCTAGCAAGTTTTTCGTGTTCTTTGTATTCATTGACATTTACTTCTTATTTTTAAAAAAAAGTTAAATCATAACTATAGATAGCAGTAATTTATGCCTGCTTACCCTTTTTGGCTATAAGAAAGGACTGAAGTGCATGACTGACTTCAAACATATTCAAGGAAACTGAAATACATGCCTTCTTCCTGGGTTTCCATTAGAATTGGCAGAAATCTTCCCTCTAGCACATGTAAAAGTTAGACTAAACTTTAAACTTTAGTTATGGTAATAACAAGGGATTATAATGTTCTACAGAATTCTTTTAAGATCAGTTGAAATATAGTCTCCTTTGAAAACAGCACTTCTGCCCCTGACTATTTTAGTAACAGAGCTTTATCTAACTTCTGCCGATTTACGGCAACTTCCTAGAACTCACTGCTGTTTTCCAGCATCACCTTGCTTCTGGAAATGGGCCTTAGTGCTAGTTGAGGTTTCTCACATGGCAGGAATTAATACCTCAAGATATTTTTATTGTATGCTGAGAAAGTGAAATTACTGAACTTGTTTATTTTTGAGGAGTCATAAAATCTGACCCAACCATCCTTTATGGAAAAAAAAAAATACCTTCTAATATCTTAATTTTAACAGAAGGAGAAAAAAATGCCACAAACCACATTTACTCTCAACAGGCTGAATCTATCACAAACTCTAAATCCATAAGCACGTATCTTGAAAAAGTGGCTTTTACCTGTGGTGCAAATTTAACATGAAGAAATATTGCACATAAGGCTAACAATCATCACACTCTGCAAGGACTAATAGATGGACTCCACCTCAACATACCGTGCTTTCATAGGAAAGGTTTGCAAAAGCCAGTGGAGGGCTAAGTGTCTGTCAGCCTCTGGGCCTTAGTATAACTCCCTTGAAACTAACAGAAATTCAGTGCCTGGCGCACTCAAGAACACTGCACTTCATAATTTGAATGCAGAAGGGAACAAATGTGAAAACAGTATGTCTGAAGTGAACATAATGGCAATATGACTTTTGAAATGTATGAATGAATAGAAAGGGGGAAAAAATTAGTTGTAGTGTCTCTAAATAATAGAATAAAAGGAAAATAACAAGGAACAAAAATTATTATTTTCCCTTGGTGAAAAGCCTTTGTCTAACTTAAATAAAAATATGAAAGGCAGAGAGAAAAGACACAGACAATGACTTGAAATAAAAGGAATATAATTTAAACCATATTCACTTGAGAAAATTACAAGCATTCAAATGTATGTGCATGAACATTTATATTCAGGAAAAGAATTTGGAAATAGTGTGTTAAAAAGTTAATGTAGTATTTACCAACACCACAAAAGAAAAAAACCTCAGATGCTGTAGATGAAGGTATATTTAAATTTTAGCTACATTTTGAAACATAATAGTGTCAATAATCTTCTCATCTTCCACTAAACAGATCTGATTGTACTCAGTGGCTCTGCTTCAAAGTTGTCTTTCTTCTCTCTTTATTGAACACATTTTTTCATGCCAACATTTTACTATTGTTAACATTACAGAGACAATTCTTTTAAGAGAAAGGGAAGCTAGATTATTTCTCTAATAAAGTAGAAAATTATTTTACTTTCTGGTAGCAAAAGCTTTATTGACTGTAGAAAACGATAAAGAAAAGACCTTGGAATTTCAGCTCCCCAATTTCATTTGCAAGTCTGCCAGCTAGGGACAGACATTTTTAAGTGTAAATTAAAGTTATATCATCTGCAACTTACTGGGAGGAAATAGCTGAAAGTCCTAGTGAATCTTGCATGTAATATATGCCTATGCAGTGAGATTTAATTTAAAAATTACTAACTCAGTGGCTTTTGGCTGGCCCTCCTTGTGTAAATTACTTTCATCCCTTGGGAATAATACAGGGAATTGAGATATGCTACTATTAAGTAAAAAGAAAATAATGAAAAAAATGCTGCAATGGTTCTGTGTTAGCCAAAAAGATGAAATAATCTTCATCCCGACAATCTAGAAAAGCTGGTCCTTAGACCTGCAATTCTGTTAGCAAGATTTTTATGTAAACCCACTGACTTTGGTGGAGTGGCTGCTGGGAGAACAACTATGGCTTTGTATGGAGGAGGAAAATATAATCCAGACCACCCATTGGTCTGACTTCATATCTTTCAGAAAAAGTATGGAACAGAAGAGTGATGGGAATCAAACAAAATTTCAATTATCTGAAAGTACTCCTTTTCAGATTAACTTGATTTTGAATAAGATAACATAATAGGGAGCGGTAAAATAACATTTCCTAAAATGCAGAGATTGCAAATAAGAGTCAAGGCACTTATTGCATTCTTCAGCTGGAGAAGGTGTATTTGAAACCAAATGTAGAGTCGCTGGCATAAAATTTTTGAAACCTCTACACAGAGCTAGGTTTTGTGTTAGAAGATTTTTCATGTTATCATGTTGGAACTATTAAGTCAACTAAAGAACAATTTCATGAGTAGAACTACAACATGAGAAAAAATAGCTCAAGTGTGGAGGGTACTAGGAAATATTGATAAAAAAAACAAGTTTAATGAAAAAATTTTCAGGAGAAAATCAGTTAATATGGAATTTTCAGGGACTTGTTGTGGGGCTAGGTAGATACCATATTTTCCCTCAGAGACCTGAGACAAAGTATAGGAGTGGGTCAATAGTATTCCTAGTGACATTCACTAGGGAGATGTGTCTGATGTGAAGCAGTGTAAGATTATCAAACAGAAAGAACCAGATAAAGAATAGAGGAGAGGCCAGAGCGATAGAAATGTTTTCACACCTATAGAATCTTTTTCATACCAATATTCTTTTTTGAATAGGAAACACTCTTTCCAGAAAACAACAGAAGAAAAGCTCCTAAGATTGCTACGGGCTGTTATTAAGCTAAAGCTGTGTGAGAAGCACACACGGCTGTAATACATGTAAGGCTTTGCCTTTCCAAGGGAAAGAGGAAAATGCTAATGCTATTTTCCAGGCTCATAACAAGGTCTGAAATACAATTCTCACCAGCTGTTTCCAGGAAAAATAAGATATTAAGACTGCAATAAGAAGAGAACAGGAAAAAAAACCAAACAAACAAAAAACCAACCAACAAAACAAACAAAACACAAAACAAACAAAAAAAAGAACAAACAGAAAATAACCTAACAGAACCAGCAGAAGGGAGAACTATCCAAATTCACCTAAATTTGTTTACATGCAGAAGGAAAGGGGACTGCAATTAACATCAGAGCTGGAAATTTAAAATCACTTTCTCCTAGTTAGGCTGGTTTGCTGATAACAGATTTTGTAGAGGAAGATGGGCCTAGGTGAGAGGATGAGTTTTGCTGCTGCAGGGATTCCATTTTCACCTTTCCCATGGGAAGAAAGGGTATATACTTATGATTTTAAATGTGTGATCCATACAAATTATCTTGTCTTTGACCTGAAAGATCAATTCCAAATTAATACTTAAGCTTCAAGTTAATGAAGACCTTTCTGTCCAGGAGGATCTATATAAATTCTGATGACGGCACACAATGCAGTCAGAGGGGATAAATACTGACTAATGGCAACACATTATGCACCTGTCATGTTTCTTGAATTTGTTACTGAAGAGACAGTCAGTATATGGATTATTATATTGTCATGTGTGCTCAATACTTCTTTTTATTATGGATTGGGAACATTCAGATCCATTTTTAAAGTGTTTAATCTGTAGAAGTAGAGTTGAAGAGGAGGTAGAACAGATTTGACATATTCTCAGATTTTACAGAACAGCAGTTGTGCTTTTGTGCATTTTTCATAGGGTGTTTCAGAGATGAAAATTAACCTGGCATGGGTGGAAGGATGAGAAACTACCGAGAACTTTGAAGTCTGTGGTGAGAGGGTAGAAAAAAAGTGAAAGAATAAAGAGGAAGAAGTTTGAAATTGAGGCTCTAACTATTATTTTCAGGAGGGGAGAGAGGGTGTGAAAGTGTGGGTTACCTGGAGGTTACTCTTATTTGATTTTTTTGTTTTTCTAAAGTGATCGTTTTAGCAGAAGACAAGCATAACTGTCTTAATAAAAGTAAAAAAGTTTTAAATTATAAAAGGTGGCAAATTTTTTTTGTGAATTATAAAGTTTACTGTATAAGTTACCATTTCAATATTGCGTCTCTGAGACACCACAGGCAACTATACAAAAACCTGTATGAAAGTACAGATTCTTTTTTTACATTGAGCAATCAAGAATGTCTGCATTTTTAAGCAGGATTTAGCCCTGACCAACTGCATTACAGGAAGTCTCCAATATCTTCTACTTATGCTAGGCTGATATTTCTAGAGTTCAGATGCCCACCACACCTGTGTTTATTTTGAACACTTTATAGTTTTCAAAGGCGAACATGGATAATTTTGCTGATGTCAATAAATTAAGTAGCCTATTCAGCTTCACTGGAAAGCAAAATTATGAACAATATATTTTTGTTGAGCTTAAAATGTTTAATTTGGGATATCTTTGGGCTGATAAACTTCCCTGACCCTAAAACAGTGGTTCTGATGGTGTTTTTATTTGTCTGAAGCTCAGTTTTGAGGTCCATTCTATTGATAGTATAGTTGAAAAACAATACAGTTACTATGTCAAATAATCATTTTCATGTCTTCCGATTTATTACAGAACCCAGAAAAAAACTATCCCAAATATCTACTTCTGCAATCTGGCTATAGCAGATTTGGTTCATATCATTGGCATGCCCTTTCTCATACACAGGTGGGTATGTGGAGGTGAGTGGGTTTTTGGTAGCCGTCTTTGCACCATCACTAAGTCCCCGGACACAGACGACCAGTTTACATGCAGTGCCATTATGACTGCAATGAGTTTGGACAGATACCCAGTTTCCTATTTTCATTCTATACCTCGGGACAATAATACCTCATTGTGTTTATGCAAAGCTGTGGTAATTCAAGAATGAGAATGCCATCAGGCATGGTTAATGATTTTTTGAAAACTGCACAAATTATTTCTGATGTTTGTGGGGGTGGCAGACATATTGTAAGTCTCAATACAACATCGTTCTTTGTACAAGGCCTTAAGTGATCCTATTCCAGTGTTACTCTTCTGGGGCCCATCTTCAGAGGTGCAGCTTCTAGTAAGGGTTTAATGTCACTAAAAAAACTTGTTTTCACCATTCTTGTTTAAGATAAAAAAATTGGCTTTCAGGCAGACTGAAGAAATCAGTCTACCTGAAAGCAGAAATTGTTATTTTTTAAAACCTTTATTAAAATGCCACAGGAGCACAACAAGAATTTTTTTTTTGTTGATATTATTATTAACTAGAAAGTTCAAAAAGAGTTTCTGCATTATTGATCTTATGGAAAAAACTAAGAAAATTCAGGAAAGAAAAGTCTACTTTGGACCAAAGTTATCTCCTTCCATATGTCAGAGTGAGCATAAAGGAAAACAGAAAGACAAACTTTCTTGCATAGCATGATGTACTGATCAATCGATAAGAAGACATGGGGATAAACAAACAGTGTCAATTGGAAGGACAGTTACTATTGAATTTGTAGCATAAAAGACAACATGCTTCCATGGTAGTGAAATGTAGTTGGTAAAGAGAGGGAGAGAAAAATTACCAGAAAACAGAAAGAAGTAGAAAATTTAAAGTTATCCATAATTTTGAAATGGAAAAAGTATGGTTATCATAAAGTGGCTACACTGATGCATATTAGAAATCTAATTTGGCTGACATACAGTTTAAAAAAACTCAGGAAATTATCGATTCCTTTGCAGTTCAGTTTTAAAAGCTTTGTTCTTATATTTTCTTGTATTCGTGTATGAGTAATGTGACAAATGACAGTCTTTTCATATATTTCTAAAGAATTTAGATATAGCAGTACCTTTAATCTTGTTGTTTAGAGAAAAAAAATTATGCAAAAGATAGAAAGTATTAAGGTAGGAATAAGACATGAGGTCCTAATGAGAAAAGACAGAATATCAAAATCTGGTATGAAAAATAATTTATGTCCCAAGTAAAGCTATGTCTCAAAACAAATTTGTGGGTTTTCCAAAAAGAAAGCTTGTGCTTTCCTTTTTGTTTTGAGGCAGATTTTTCCATCTTATATACAGTTGCCTAGGGAAAGCTGTTCAAATTATTTCTCTCTCCTTAGTTTTATCACTCCTAATAACAATTATGACACTATAGCCAAGAGAAACAAAGGTTTTTCAGATAACAACCTCCCAAACTGTTTAGTCCTTGACAGTTTCAGTAAAGCACTTCTGAATCCACCTAGGAGCCTTTATTAAGTGAAAATATTAAATCAGCAGTTTTGCCAAAAAAATCAGCAATTTATCAGACTTAGTTTGACTGCAAAATCATCCTACATTCACAATAAAAGACACATAATTTACATAATTTATATTAGTAAATTATGACTAACATAATTATGACTAATGCAGCATTGAACATCTTCATGTGCTGTTTCATACTTCTCAAAAATGAAAAAACTTTGAATGGAAGACAGGAGCAGGTCAGACCTGAGAAGGCAGGTTCCAGAAGAAGCCTGAGCTGAATAAAATGAGTACCATATGCAAATTAATATCAGTCACATTGCTGGATAATGGTTTTATTCTCATAAATCCTCTTCTTCATAATAGGAGTTCACAATGGTCCAACAGAGACTTTAGTATTTCAACATTTCTGTTTTCAAATAAAATGTCTTTATAAGGTCTTAAGAAGTGGCAAAACCAGCTGTTCTCTCCATGGAGCTTTAGGGGTCAATTTCTGAGGGATACAATGTATAAAAGTTTGCTTTCCATTACTCACTTTAATATGAAATAAAAAGCATTAAGGAAAGCTGTAAAAATTATGCAAGTCAAGTATGCATACTAAAATTTATGAGAAAGTTTTCTAAATTGACATCAAACACATTTTTTTAATACAGGTTTATATTTATGCCACAGACAGACATAACATAAATTAAACCTGGATGAAACTTTGGTAGCACAACTTTTACTTATGCGTTAAAAGAAAATTTTGTAAGAAGCAACTCACAGCATCTGTTCTCTGGACAAGGATTAGCGTAGTCATGCATAGACAACAATCCTAATATAAATTACCCCCATGTACATGAAGAGTAAATCTGACTGTTCAACAAAAATACCACTAGACAAATCTGACCTGGGTGAAATCAGAACTGTGTGTGCTGCAGACATCATCTCCTCAAGCTCAAATATTGACATACTCTTATGTTGCTGTCTCTGGTGAAACAGGAGGAATGATAAGACGGGTGAAAAGATCCAATATGATGTCCTACCCTAAAGTCTTCGCTTTGCACATTCCAATATGCCACTTGAATTTAATTGAAGATGAACACTGCAATCAGCAATGTTAGTGACTTTAAAATGACAAAGGAATTCTTTGGCCAATGAAATTTTTTAAAAAGAGCCAAGACTTACACGTTCAGAATTACTGACATAGATTCAGAAGCCATAGCATTCCTTGTTCCTTCATGGCACACGAGATGCAACTGGTAAAGCTTATGTTGGACTTCCTTTCTCTGACAGGAGGCTACAAGGCACATCTCATTCCCTGTGGCATGAATCCACTGGAGCATGTCACAGGAAAATACTACCATCTGGGTCCCTTCTTACAGAGTTCAGCTGCTTCTGACTAATTTTAGTACAAACTTTGGCTATAGGAAAAGGTGTAATCCCTTCATAGGTGTTCAGTTGCCTGTAATTTAAAGTGTACTTTTGGTATGGCACAGCTATATAACCTTAGAATCCTGAGAAAGTTGCTAAACCCTAAGCTGTGCAGAAGAACCAAGAGCAGACCCATGTGTGCTAAGGTGAGATAGACTGAAACCCAAGACAAGATTGTTGAGTTGGAGACAGCCCCTCACAGGTTCAAGAAGAGAAACACTGGTACAAAGAAGTATAAATATTAACAAAAATGAGAGAGTCTTAAATTGCCCCTTCATTTCCATTGACTTCTGCCCAGCAAAGAACCAAGGGTGTCATACTGCGGTGGTAAGAGCACTAACACTTATCCTAGGAGCTTGGTAGCTCTAAGTGTCTGCTGTCTACTGAAATAGATAATAAACAACTGCTTTTTGAGAATATCCTGTTTGCAAAGCATCTCTGTGCAGTGGAAAAGTTTCCTGAAGAAGTTCCTGAAATCTAAGAGTTACGTGGGTACCAATAAATTTTGAGTGTTGCATAAACATTTATTTAGCCCATACCCTTACAGCTGCAGATGTGCTAATGGAGAAGTGAGGCTGGGAAGATAAATCTGGAGTAATTAAGCTCTGTGACAGCTGAAAAGAAACAGACAGGTGTTCTAAGCATTTGGAGCAGCCGAGACTGACAAGCATGAGAATATGTATTACTGGTTTGCCCATTGCTGCAATATTGCTCTAAGAAATATTTACCAAGGCAGTATCACCAGTAGGGTGGAGCTGTAACCCTATAAAAGTCATGGGCTTTCAGTCATTTAGAACCAGAACCGCTTGATTTGGCATGGACTAATCCATTTACTCATTCCTCACATGCCATTTTCAGTCGCTCCTTGCTTCACTTCACATGCAGTTACACATACCCCAGCCAGAGGGAAAGGTAGAAGCCTTTTAAAAGTTCAAACTCCTGAGCAGCCCATTTGCCCTTGAGTGTAATACATCCTGCTGTCTCTTGGGCAAGCCTAGCAGCAGTACATTTTAAGCCAATTCAGACAACACATTAACGTTTAAAATAATAAGAATATTTCTGCAAATTTGTGATGATAATAATAATAGTGTCGGTATAAGATATTGTGACAATGCGCAATACATAGTAAAAATGTTAGGCCCTAGGATAGGTTAAGATACATCCAGAGGCAGGAAGAAAAAAGTGAGGAAAAAATCTAATCCCTAAGACACATTTTTCCTCTCCATTTCCTATATGCATAACAGAAATATGAGCACATTTATGGCTTTGCTACAAATCAGACAAGATGATTTGTAATTAGCTAAAACATTAACTAGGATCATGTGCTCTTGTGAAATATTTCCTCTTTCCAAGTGTTGCCTTGGCTTTCACAATCATGTACTTTGGTGGTGGCTGGTTTCATAGATGTTCCTCCAGGCAGCATTGTAACAGGAGGTTTGGCAGAAAGGCCTAAAAGAATGCAGTAATAGGCATGGCTAACAAGCACCACATACCTCGTGCCTTGTACTTTTTGAGAGCTTGGCAGGCTCCATCACTGCCTCCTTCTCCCATTTTCTATGTCAGAGACACTTCTCAGACAATCCCCTTATTGTTTGTCTCAGATAAGTATTCTTCAGTGTTTTCCCAACAAAAGACTTTTATTATTGATAACTATTTTTTCAGGTGAAGACACATCTACCTTTAAGTTCCACTCTCTGCTTGAAGAGGAAATTAGCCCTTACATTCAAAACACCTTTTCCCAAATGGAGTACTCACCCTTCATTTCAAAAATTTATCATCAGACAATAGGCAAGATTAAAATTACATCCAAAATGAAACAACAAACAGAATCCCACTGCTACAAAAGAATGGAGACAAAAGCTGCTTGATAAACGGTTAGGATGAGATTGATTTCTTATTGTCTGAGGAAGGGTAAGTTGGAAAAACAGGCTGGAATAAGTTTTAGTTCTATCAAGAAAAAGAATAATGTACTTTCACATTGAATTGAATTTATGGTGTTGTTTTCATTCCATTCGGCCTAATGATTTCCTTTTCATCTTTCAGTTCGCTAAATCATGTTTTCCTTTGGACAGACGAATATTAAAAGTGAGAATTAGAAACCCACGTAAATTATCCTTTATAGACACATATCAGTATATGAAAATAATTGATCCAGAAAGTGTGAAAAGTCATCTTACAAAACTTAGGGAAATACACATTTATGCAGACCAGATTTGAAGACATCGTTGTAACCTGCCCTTTATTTTGTGACAATCCTTCGAAAATTCAGCATTGTATCCAGGAAAACTATGTCCACACAGCAAAAGCCAGGACCAACCAACAGATAGGTAGCGATGGGCATTTCTGGAGCAGGAAGATGTGGATTCAGCACCCATCCCAGGCTAGAGTGTTCCTTTGCATGTTCTGTTCCTTCCCTTAATGATATTCTGTGCTCATTTATACACTTTATTTTATCACAAACTGCATTAGTCTGATAACTTCTAGACTGCAGCTGTCTCTGAAACAGAGTTACATTCACTGTTGCTAAGTTTTGGGCTGCACTGGGCTCTTGTCCTTTGAGCAAAGGCAATATCATCCGTTAAGCCACACGTCACATGGTGCCTTAAGAGCCTCACAGCCCTCTCTCTGTAGCTGAGTAGCCAGCTTTCTGCTAGCAGCTCTGGTCACCCAAGCCACCGTGGCAGCCTTTCCCAGAGCCTCTAGGGCAGCACTTTCCCCTTGTTCCCACGCTGTGGATCTTGCACTATTATCCTCCCAGCCCTGCACCTGCAAACCCCACAGCACTGTTACAGGGGGTTCTCATGGGAAGTGACTGCCACCAGCGTGAGAATCACCCCTGCTTCCCCTCCCTCTTCCTACTCTGTGATCGAAGCTTCTGGTTGACATTAGTGGACCCAAAAACATGCATGCCCAAAACTTAGCAGGTCAGCGTGCAGCCTCAGCAAAACACACTCTCAGCAACACCAACAGCTTCTTTGACAGGAGCAACTGGTAAGAAGCGAGTCCCGACAAAAACTGTGTTGATACTGTCGAAAAAGCATTACAGGGAAAACCATGTACTGCGCTCTAGCAGAGACACAGAGGAGAATCCTTGCCTGGAGCAACCCCTGTTGTTTCTCTTCCATTCTCTCTCCTTTAGTTTATATTTTTCCCCTAAAGTAAATGTATGACATCAGCTACAGACTCTGCTAGTAAATCTATTTGCATGTGAACCTGTCTTGAAAACATTTGTGCGCACAGTATGCACAGGTATATTTATGTATATGTGTGTGTGTGTGTGTGTATATATATTCTGAGCCTGAATAAGTTGAAACAAAATGGAGATCTCATTGAAATCTTCCTGCTAAGGGAAGCATATGAAAGCAGTAACGAGTTTTTGTATCACCCAGCTGTAGGCACCAGCTAAAGTTCAGTCTCTCGTTAATGACAGGCAGTAGGCATGACTGAGAGGTGATTCACAGGGTGTACAGAGTGCACAGCACAGGATGGAATATCCTGACTCCTTCCTTGAAGCCAGTGGGAAGAGTGGGGCCTGACACGGGACACTTCTTACTCCATGTCAGAGACTAATGTCACTTTTCTGTGCCTCTCCCATGCATCCTATTTCCTTCTTACACACCTTCATTTTCTCACAAATACTTCCTTTGACTTACAGTTTATTTCCTGATTTTTTTTTTTAACCTCCTTGTAACTTTCTTCAGCATTCATTCTTTGGAAACAGCTCTGTTGACAATTTGAAAAATAGTTATTGTATTGTTCTGTTACTTTGCATAGAGATGTTATTGCTTGCACCACTTAAAAAATGAAAGCAAGCTGAAAGCTTGCTTACACTGTGCTTACATGGAGACTAAGAGGTCAAATATTGTATAAAAGAGGAGCAATCACAAGTTTTAAGAACCTGAGAAGCCTGTAAATTACTCTCAATTACACAGATCATGTAAGCAGTATCAGTGTCAGAAGATACTTCCGTAAAACAGACAGTGAAACAAGAGAGCTAGCTGTACCAAGAATGGTACAAAGTAGTTCTACCATGACAAATGTAGAGGATTTCTGTTATTTCTTGTCACCATCATGAGGACTGAGAATAACTGCATGAAATCAGACATAGCTTTTTAAGATACCACATGCCAGAACAGCCTTTTGCTGATTCTAGAAATGATGACCATTACTTTAACCTCATTTAGTGAAAGAACTTGATTGTTACAAAGCTTGAATAATGGGGGAAAAAAATCCATTTCATACTCACACTCAGGCAAGACTGAAATACCAATCTTTCTTCATCTTGTGCAATGGCTCCTAATCTTCATTGTTTTAAGAGCAATGATAACAAGCAACTAAGGTGCTGCAAGCACCCTGTTCTGGCAGGCTGGTGAATCTATCTATGAAAAGCAAAGTACGGGACCTTAAGCAACGACCCGAGGTCTTGCAGACAACATGTTGCCAGCACCTACAGACAAGGATATTCTGATTTGTGTCAGATATTTGCATTGTAAGTCGTGGCAGCTGGCCTGTGCAGCACCAAAATTAGGTCAGCTGGTTGTTGTTCCTGGTTGCCTCGTGTGATTATATCAACATAAGTCATCACAAGGCAGTGCTGCAGCTCCCTTCAAACCACTTTACAGAGCACAGTGATTTTGACAGCCACAAAGCAATACCAAGATCAAGGACAATTGAAATCCTCAGCCTCTGTCACATACTGTCTGCACCCAGTACCTTTTGGCCAGGACTATGATTGGTCCCGGAATGCCAGATTCACAAATATTTGAAAAAGCTCTGCTGAGAAGGTGGTCATCATTGATCTACTGTCAGACTAGAAAAATATTAAGGGGCTAATCAGACTGTGCCCTGCATAAATGCTTGCAAGAATTTTCACTAATTATACAAGTACTGGAAAAAGCACACACATACAGAATTTGGAAAACTGAGAGGTATAATCTTGTAGTCAGACATATTCCTAGAAGTGAAGACTTTAATCCTTAGAAGTACTTGAAATTCTAGGCACTTGCTGTTACCACGTATCTCTAATCAAGAATCACAACTTTATGGAAAATGTTGTTTATAAATTTTTGCATTTATGAGGTCGTCTTTGTCTAACAGCCTTGTTTATTCTTTTTGTGTTTTGTTTTACAGGTATACACTTTATCTTACCATAACTTTCTTTTTTCCTTTACCATTGATATATTTATTTGCTATATTTTAGTTTTATATTACACACGGAAGATGTATCAGCAAAACAAGAAAGCAGGAAGGTAAAGTATTATTCATGCCTCTCTCATACTGCTCAGACTGTAAAGGCTTTATATGTAACAGAGCAAAAGGAACAGTCCTAAAACAATATTTAGGCACTGCATCATGTAACTTTTAGTCCTCCAGACACTGCATTAGGCTCCCAGGAAACAGATTAGGATTCAAGGAGGGAGCCAAGACAAATCATTTAGAAGGAAATACTGTGGAGAAAGTTACACCTGGAGTCTTCAATTCAGGTCAACAAAAAGGCACAACTCAACCCTGCACTTCTAGCTGCAGGAGGAAACCTGCCTATATCATGGCTCCAAGCTCTCAGTTCAGGGATTAGGAAACTCTGGGAGAATGTGGCTGCCGCGTCTGGTATCGGCTACAGTGCCCCAAGGAGCTGCAGGTCATCCAAGTTGTATTGCCCCTTCTGTGGGAAGGGGACTCCAAGCCCCACATTAATCTCTAGCTGCCGTTCACAGTCTGAGAAAGTCTAGGCAATAAAAGAAAATTGACGCTTGAAACAGATGAAACATAATTCCCAGTTTCAGTGAGAGCAGCTCCTGGCCATGATGTTTTAGATCTAGGACAACATACTTTGGATTTTGGCTTATACCAATTTTTTACAGAAAGGAAGTTGATTTCCAATTGAGTGTGGGTTTTAATTCTTTAGGTAGGAGAAAAATTTTCTTCTTTGCTCTGAGTCTTCTGTAAGCTCCTAATAGTCATGTTTTAATTGGATATTTCTCTTCTAGTTGACAGTAAAAAAAGGCACTCAGATGAAAAGGGAATCAAAGCAATATAGCTCACATGAAAAAGATTAAGCATTTTTAATTAAAATATTTGTCAGTGTTTCATCAAATACACATAAACAATTCTCAGGGTCTCCTGTGTGTGGCATAGGATCATAGCAGAAGAAACAATAATGTGTAAACAGCATAAAAATTAAGCCCTCGAGAGGTGGCCTTTGCTTGCACTGTTTGGTCTCAACTAACTGCTGTTCATTACTACACTCAATCCATGCCATCAGTTTCTCACCTTGACTAAGAATTCTTGTTTGTTTTGCAGTTACACCACCAGTATCCCCAGGCAGAGAGTTATGAAGCTCACTAAGATGCTGCTTGCTCTGATCAGTGTGTTTGTGGTAAGCACTACCCCCTTCCATGTGATCCAGCTCATGGATCTTCAGGTTTCTCAGCCGACCCTGACCTTCTATATGAGCTACTACATCTCCGTGTGCCTCAGCTATGCCAGCAGCAGCATTAATCCCTTTTTATATATCCTGCTTAGTGGGAACTTCCAGAAGCATCTCCAGCGATGCACAAATATGAAATTCAGGATGGCAGAAGGGATGTCAACATCATTGAAAACACCCTCGAGTCAAGTTTTCAAAAGAAGGTTCTTCTCCCAAGAAAAAATGCCATGTCTATATGTAGATTTTATTTGTTGCAATAGATAGGCCTGATTTCACTTTCTTCATGAAAGTGAAACTCAGAAGTGACTTTATTGCTGGAAACACCTCAGTGTCAAGCTGATGGAAGAGGGTCTGCACCACTGTTTTCAAGGTAAGAGCTCCGAGAAGAGGGATTCTCTGCAAAAATATTCTTTGTTATTGTGACATTGTCTTTTTTATAATTTGTACATAGATTGTCTTTGAATGGATGGAGACAAAGTAGGTTTTCACAAGTGTAGGCCTCTGTTAATAAGATAGAATGACAGTGGGAGGCATTTTGGATCTGACAGTGTGTGAAGTCACGGAAACTGTCAGTTATTCACAAAGAAGAGAACCAGTTACTGATGACTCAGAAGGGGGTAACTATTGATTTTTATCCTATCTACAGCTGTCTCATCTGGCACTCACTTATGCAGCAATCAGAATCAGGGGAGAGACATGAAAGGCTCTTTTGGAGGAAAGCTACTTTTGAATTAACCTTTGCACATAATCTTGCAAACAAAGAAGTGAATTCACAGTGTGTGTCATTGGAAATTATTAAACATGAGTTTTGAATATAACTATATGGGTCAGAGATATGTCTTTGCTTTTCTTTTCTCAAAATCCCTGTTTCTGAGCCAACCTGGAGAAGGGTGTTCAGTCCTGAAAGAGTTCAGTGCTGGTCTCACTACAAGGGCCAAGAAGAACTTGGTGCTTGCCCAGGATGCACTCTTCCTCATCTCAAGATGGGTAGAAGAATGCCTACTTGTTGTCAACACTTAATCAACAAGGTTTCTAATAGTAGAATGTAACCAGGCAACATGATCCGGATCTTGACAGCTAATAGAAAAAAATTGGGGAAAGAAAATTCTGTTTAAAAATCTAGTGTTCTTGAGAGTTGTTCATGTTTTTGGTAATCACCACATTGTGGGTTTATCTGCATCGTGTTCTCTTCTCAGTCCACTTTCTCTTATCTGAGGACTTCACTTATCACTCTATTGGGTGAAGAAAATATTTCACTAGGACCAGAGGTTTTATGGCTACAGTATTCCTGTTATTCAGAGACCTGATGAATCTGAAAGATTCAGGATACACCTCTCCACACTTACAGTTAGCTTCCCTCTTGTTGATACATCCCAACTGAGCCTTTTATTCAGTTATTTGCAGCACTGTGGAGGTCACAGTTAGTGATTACACTCCGTGATCTGCCAACCCACTGCAGGATTCATGACACAGGAAAGAAGAAAATGTTTTCACAAGAGTAAGTCTGAACTCCACATTCCCAAGCTGAGAACTGAGGTATTGGTCTGCTTCTCCTGCCACCATATGAAATCTGCAAGTCACATAGAGTCTGACACTGAAAGAGGACATGTTAAAATTAGATACAGAAAAGGAGATTAAGGGGTCTGAAATCACTATTAATAGTTTAAAGCCAAAGCTTTACATAGCAAATGCATCATGAAACATTTGTGATGGTGTTATTGTACCCATAGTAGTCTAAGGGAATGCTCAAGATAAACTTTCTGAGTGAAAGAAATATATTAATTAAACTCTGGAGGATAGCTGCAAAAAGATTATAAAGGTTCGTTCAGATCTGAAAAGTTTATCTACTTTTCCCAGCTGTACAAATTTGTCTATTAGAAGCCTGATCTCTACCTACAGGACTTGTCATTTAAAATAAATTATTTAATTAACAGTTTACACAAAAGGTGGCTTATCAAGTATTACCAAACTATGGCCGTGCAAAGTGCAAGTTTGTTAGTTCACTGTTCCAGTCAGTGCCTGCATGTGTCACCTTTTCTTCTGAGTTACAACTGTTGTCTTCTTCTTTTCTTTTTTTTCCCCTTGCCTGGCCTTTTGAATGAGACCAGATCAATAATGACATGATATTTAACACTTATAACAATAATAAAATAGTCTTTTATAACAGCCTTGGTGTTTTTCTCTTTTGCCTGTCACACCACCATTTTAAAGTCGCTCTGCTTCCGAGGTCATAGCAATGCAATGGAACCACAGAAGCATAACTTCATTAAATTTTCCCAACAGCAAGGACTAGAGGGCATTGAATGTCCTCTTCTGTGGGACACTAATAAAGTGGTTTATAGTTCTGCATTTTTTTTACCTTCTCCATATTGTTTTAATCTTTTGTATCTAAAAATAAAATTGATGTATTTCAGAGAAAATTGTGTAAATATTAAAACTTTTTATTTACCAGTTACTAAATTGTCTATGTTAATGGAAGTCCATAAAAGAATATAATAGAAATAAATATTTTCCTTTAATGTTTTGAAGCATCTGATCTTGTTTATATTGTTTCCAACACAAACAGAATAAGCAGGTCATTGGAAAATAAAAACAACCTACAGATGGGGAGGAAAGGGAAGATATTGCAATCCTGTTGGATTTTAAATAGCTCTAAAAGCTGAATAGTAGGTGAATTAATATATCTTTCAGCTGAAATAGTACTGATGAAGAAAATCTGGATCTGAATGAAGAATGTTATTGTGTGTCTAGGGAAAAAGTGTAGAAGGCTATATAAAGGCAAAAGAGTGCTGAAATCAAACTGGAATATTCTGTGTTGTTTTGCCACTACATCATCACATATAAGCTACACAAAACCATAATTTCAAAAAGGTTCTTTCAAGATACTTACTTGTAATTTGGTTAGTAGTATCTGTGTACAGGTAAGGTGTACACCCATACCTTCAGATAATTATTTTTTACTATTTATTTTGCATGAAATGCAGCATTTCTGATCAGGATTGTCAAGGCTGTGCTGCAACTATCATCCGGTCCAGCATTTCAAGTTTTTATTACCTTTAAACTTATGATAATAGGTTGAAGGGGAAAATATTCAGTCATTAAATCAGAGTATTCTAGCTGAAAGTTTCCAAACCATCAGGAAACCAGCCCTGACTGTACTCCAGGGCGCTGGGGAGCTGAAACTGATTCCAGAAAATTAAATGTCAAAGCTTTGGGATTTAATATCATATCACCTGTTACATACATTGTGATGACTATTTAATCCCATCATCCAGTTAAAACACTGACTGCATGAGTAAGCTGGATGCCTGAGCGAAACTGGACACCTTAAGAGTTGGTAATGATATGATATATGCAGTATTCCCTATCCAGTAAAAGCACTTAACAGACCTAGTGCATTTTAAGCATGTAGATAGTCTAACAAAAGTCAATGTAGAACATGTAACTACGAGATTTGCCATACTGGGGCCCAAACCTTCTGTCCAAATGCCAGTACCATCTACAGATGAATTTACAGGGCATAGTTGACTTAAAGGTATGTGCAGAGGTGGAAAACAGAGAGGGTATTTGTGTGCACAGTTCCTAGCAGGTAAGTGTTAGGAAATGGTTGCAGACATAATTAGCACTTCAGAGGTGATCTTGCTGAGATATATGGTAAGAAACTATTCTTGCCTTTGGAAATACTTCCTGGAGCTGGATTTCAAAGGGCTGAGTTTATACCCATGTATATATTTGGACAGAATCCCCTACCATGGCCATGATCCTGTAACGTGGTGATTTCCTGTTTGTCAGTGCATACAACACATTTGCACATGGATATTTGCAGGGAAACTTTCCACACAGTTGAATGTGTCATGTAAAGCTAAAAGTGTGCTTACTGCTCAGTATGAAAGAAACTCCAGTTTTGTCCTTATGCAGAATGACTTCGTACTGCTAAATCTTTACCATGTTACTAACAATGACCCAGGCCTGTTCCTGATCCTAAATAAAAAAGTGATAGCTTTTTTTTCTCTGACTGATTCAACTGAGATAATAAAACTTGTTTCTTAATTGGGTGTCCTACCATAAAAACTGAAAAGAAACACCACTGAAAGTAACACCAGAGCCATATGAACTGTTTGGGCTGATAGCTTCAGTCTCAGTTTAAACTTTAAACTTCATCAACTTGACTTTTTTGTACAATGTTTCACATAATAGGAGGGATATAAAGGCTAACATGCTTTTGTTTTGTTTAGGTCATTTGTACTGAAAGGTAAAATATACTAAAAGTCCTATTAAAAGAATTTTTCATAAGGTCTTTAAAACAAAAATTATGTTTTCTTCCCTTTTATCTATTCTAAATATACTGTACTTGCAGTTCTCATTCAGCAGATTGTGATTCTGGCTATTCAGCTCCTCTGGATTTAGGATTATGCTCGAATACTTTGAAAGGCTTATTTTCTGGTCTCTTGTAGAGAAAAGAGGATACCAGAACCATTCCCTTCACTATTTTGTAAATCACTCCTTGAAAACAATGAAAATTTATCTTGGCTTTGTGATATGATGCACTGCTTTGTCTCCTGCAAGGTTTGAGATTTAGAGGGGCTTTGGCCAGTTTTGCAGCCTCATGCTAAGAGAAAAGAATGAGGACACTTAAACCTGCACCCATCAGTTCAGCAAATTAGTTGGATAAAGCTGAAATTTGAGCAAAGACGCACCTCACCAGATTTCAAGCCATTTGTCTGACTTAAGATGTAAGATCAAAGTAGAAGCCTCATGTGTGAGCCTGGATTTCCAAATTCCTTCACATACAAACACCTTGCAGAATGGTAATTTAGAAATAGGGCCCGTTGTCAAGAGATTAAAAGCAATGTCACTGTGGTGTAGGGAAAGGAGCACAAGTAAGGACCAGCAATATTAAGTATCCCAGGAGGACAATCCTTCCTAGTGCTTCCTCCAGTCACCGAGGGGTGGTGAAGTTTTTCAGGACTGGGAATAGGGCAGTGGGCAGCAGCACCAGCATTTGGCAAGGAAGGAGCTGGGGGCTGGTACCTTTCCCTGGGCTCTGGGAAGGGAGAAGTGAGAAATGACTTCATATTCTGTTCATCCATCTCCTTTTAAGCTTCAGCTCCCAAAATTTATCTTCCCCTCCATTTCTGTGATTCAGAAATCATGGCAAGGGACAAGAGGGAACAGATAAGACAAAGTAGAAAAATGCAATTCTTCAGTATTGGGAGAACCAGAGCATGGTTTTCTTGAAAGCATCCTCGCTAAGGAAGAGAGAA